TCTTGCTTGTGGCTATGCCAGCAGGTTGTGCTGAGGCTCAAGAGTAAGGGCTCATTTTCATTTTCTGCTCCAGTCCCAAGACGTTCAGGATCTTGATTTTATGGCAAAATGCGTTTTAGGGGCTGGTTTCCATCTGAGTTTTACAAAGGAGGCATCTCTTTACTTTATTCTGCTGTTAAACAGGTGTTAGACATGCTCAGGAACTGCTTAATAACCTGAAAAAATTAAGCTTGTAACTGATCAAACATCTCTGGCCACTTCTGATTAAAAATATGATGTTGATTGTGATGATAACAGATTAAAATTTAATAGCTTTAATATCTTCTCTGGCTTGAGAGATTGAATTAATAAATTAATACATCTCAAGGAAAGGTTTTCAACAGGAGCTGTACACGGGAGGTACACCAAATTCCCCATGACTAAGATGGTTAGAAAAATTTCCCTTGACATGGTGAAATCTGACCAGGACAGAAGAATCTTGGCTCCAATCCACATTTCCTAAAGTATTTACACAAAGCACTAGGCTAAAACATGATCCTTCCTCCTACAGCTCAGAATCTGAGGATATGGAAGTTTTTCCACTTTGAAGGAAATACTTTTATAAAGATAGAAACTAGCACCATCACTAATCCCATCTTGGATTTTGAATGGCAAAAATGAGAAGTAGTGGGTTCAGAAAGGCAATTATGTCCAGGAATTCAGGCCTGTGAGATTCCCAGGCTGAACTTGAGGCCTTCAGAGGGGGACCTCAGCTTTGATGGCAGAGATTTCCAACTCTTCTTCAACCATTTCCTGAGCATGGCTAAGACTTTTATTTTGTTCAACAAATAATTTCTCACATTTGCAACTAATATGCCAAACAGTTCAGTTTTCTGCAAAGATGATATAAATGTGTAAAAATATAACAACCTCCATCCAGTGACATGGTGACTGACTGATTGCTGTAAGAAGATGACAGTTAAAAAGACTGAATATGATACCTGTTTGTTTTTTTTTTTGAGGACAACTTGAAAAAATTTATTTCCCTGGCCATGCCTCTCTACAGCTCATAAATATAGGTAGCCTGGCAAAAACTTGATAGCAATGTTTAGGAATCATATCTACATTTAAACAGTAATCACAGAGATAGTTAACTGTAGAAAAAAAACCAAAGCAAACCACAAAACAAAATAATAAAGCAGTACCACCAGGGAGATGGGCCTACTATCAGCCGGGAATTCACCTCTGGTTCTCTTATCAACAATGCAAGGATTAGGGATGCTGTAATATTTAGTGCACAGAGTTAAGTTACAACAGGAGAGAGTAAGTCACTGTAATCCTTACCTACTAATGGAAAAATTCCATGGATGTCCAAAAATTTATACAACACAGTGGAAACCAAAAGCTCTTTGTATTGGGGTGAGAACGTTGCAATCTTAACAGACACTCAGCAGTCATGCACATTGTCATGAAAGGAAAACAAAGAAAAGAAAGGCTGTCCCAATAATAACTTCTGCCATAAAACTTTATCATTAGAACATCTATTAAATATTGAAATCTCTACTAAAAATGCAACCTTTAACACAACATACAACACCATTTGACTGTCCTGAATACAATTAATACAAAATGCTAGCATTTAAGCTAAAGAGAAGTTGAAAATAAATGATCACAAAAAAAGTAATGATAAAAACTGTAAACAAAGACTTTTTGTTGAAAGTAATGTTTTGTACAGAGTTATTGATTTTAAGGTTACTATTTACTGTAGTAAATGCTCATAATAATGGTCTGGAAGAACAGGGATTTGAACATATTAAAAACTGCAGGACTTTTTTTAAATCCCTATAGTTGAGGTTTCTGCTGAGGAGTTACACTACTGGGAACTGCTGACAACATCAGAAACACAGACTCACTGGGAATAATGCTACAGGGCCTACTTGGCAATGAAACAGAGCTGGATGTTATTATGGGGAGTACCAAAAGAAGCCCAAGAAGAACCAGGTGCATCATCACAGGACAGCTGCTGCATCAGCAGCAGGAGTACTGAGGGATTGGTCACATCATTTAGGACACACAATGTTTCCACAGTGTACCAGCCTTGGACAACATTTGAAGCCGTTACCTACTCCTGGCTTCAGGTGTACTGGTGAAGACGAAGACATTAGTTCAATTGTATTCAAACAAACAATGACAACAAAAAAGAATGAACTAAATCACAGCATAACTGTGTATGCCTGAAGCTAGCTCTGTGTAAGAGAAGTACAGTCCATCTTCCATATAAGTATTTGTGAGATCTTGTATGTGAGCATTCATTCAGTAGGGTATGCCAGTCAGATGGAAGATACAATGAGCTGATACTTCCTTGGGAATCATAAAAAAATATTAAAATTATCTTCTGGAAATAAAAATGAGTTTACTTAATGTTAAGATGCATGCCTATATTGCTGTCCTCATATGGTAAAGATTATCCCCTTTACTGAGCGGGATACAGTAAGTTACAGGTCAATTAGAGAAAGCTGCAGTAGGGGATATTTAGATTTTTAAAGTCAAACTGGATTCCTTCAACCTGTAATGGCCAAATGCACAATGGAAGAGAACCTCTTACATTGGTCCATTTTACAAAAACATGCAAGTTTTGGCTTTCAGGTCTGGTCCAGGGATATATTTGTGCTTCTACATAAAAGGAATTCCAAACAGCAGCAGGTACAAATATTACAAAAATAGTATTTTAGTTTCTCTCTCATAGGAACATTACATAACACAAATTTGTGTTGGCTATTTTAGTTTAAGTACTTATTCCAGAGTAAAGGAGAAGCACCTTCAAATATCTGAAAAGAATTAGAAGTTCTAATTCTCCCAAGTTTCACATATTTTATTAGAATACCATTTATACATCCCTTCCAAAGTGATGATTAAACAGATTAAATTAAATGCTAAAAATCCCAACAATTAAAGCAATGTATTTCAGTAGTGTAGATCATATGTCTACAGTAACAAATATCCAACCAACAAATACTCTTAAGCATTCAGCTGAACCAGAATTATATATACAACCTAAAACAAATGGTTCATACCTGCATTTCTCTACATATACTTTTCATTCTGAAATGAGCATGATCTAATCTAATAATACATGGTCACAAACCACATTCGATTCAAACCAAAACAAATTTAGGAACGTATCTGTAAATAGATTTAAAAATATTTGTATAAATGGTACTCTGGACCTCTTTAGTGCTTATTTCTCTTATGGCCATAATAAGCACAAAGTAAGATTAACTTTACTGATTTTGCTAGGAAAATCACATTTAGAACCTACAAAGCTTACTTAGTAAAAGCTATTTTACCTACCAGTGCAAGTCCTAAACTACATTCTGACAATAAAACATTAAGGATGACCAATATAGCATTGAGGAAGTACATGCAAACATGAAAATTCTCCATCACTTCCAGACCTTTATTTCAATATTAATTAGTTAATACTTAAAAAACCAACCAAACAAACAAACAGAAAAAAAAAAAAAAACAGAAAAAAAAGAGCCAGTTGGTTGTTTAATATGCAAAATTAGAACTGCAAACATCTTTTCCGGGCAATACCTCTTATCTCACAGTTTCATGAATGAGATACCATACTCCTCCTTACCTATGCCATCCTTTTGTCAGATACAAGAAAAAACTGTATTACTCAGCAGTTACAGAACACACTTAAATTAAATAAGACAACATAACTAGGAAATGAGAAAGGGATAAAAGCTGGTAGAAAAAAGTCTGATAATGAAGCCTTTAATTCTGATGACTAAGTGATATAATATCTAAAGCCTTTTACAGGGTATTGAGATTTTTATTCTTTTACATAGAATGAGAGAAAGTGAGAAGAGGAGGGGGCCAGAGGAAGAAGAATCTGTGGTCTGTAAATGATCAGCACAAAAAATAAATTATGGTCAAGTAACTGAGCTTTTCTGATGTGTAAATTGAATCATTCCCACACGCTGATGTTTTATAATTAAAAGACCCTTTTCACTGTGGGAAATTTTACTGAATTTTGTATTAAAAGAAGAAACAAACCATCAATCAGGAGGAGGTAGGAGAACTCAAAGAGATCAACCTATTAAACTTGAAGAGTGTAGTTGAATTCTGAATGACTTGCTCTAGGAAACTGTAGTTCTTTTAAGGCAGCTACTGTAAAAACATTAATGAGCAGAACACGTTTCTGATCGCTGTTCTAAAATCTTTTGTAGTTATGTAGAAGAACACACACTCCATTTGGTGTCACAAGATGCAGAATATGGTTGTAAATGAACCCTTTTTGTGAAGTTCACAAGCTATAAATTACTTGACTTTGGTTACCATTGAGAAAAATCACTGAGGTAAAACCAAAGGAAGAAAACCCAAACTCCGTGTACTTGCTCAATACAGTGCAGTTGCTAGGTACATACTGATCAGACAGATTAAGGTTTGCTCACAGCCAGATTGCTGCCAAATTCAAACATTTTTGAGTGGACACCATTTCAGAGTTCTGGGACCTTATGTGCTTTCAGCTGTGTTGAGATCACGGCTAAAAATTACATTTTCAAATTATTAACCGTAAGAGGTATATCATCAAAAAGCATCACAATATGGCACACATAGGCAACAGTAGTTTCTTGCGAAAACTTGAGAATGCTCACAACAGATTTAATAAACAATTTTGAGAATTTTATAATTTATTCAATTATGTTCTATCCTTGATGAGTCTGGTAACAAGACAGAGAGTTTATCATTCTGGATATTCCTTCATGAACAAGGTATTTATATCTCCTAAAGATTGTGCTCTGTCAATTTCTCCCTGCTACTAGTTTTTGTGTACACTGTTATTGCAGCAACAATAAATAAGATACAGCAACATAAACTATTGATAATAGACAAGCCAGTAGAAAAGTGCATATACTTCCATCAGTTAGACAATGGTGTGCCATTTTAAAAACACAAATGCAATACATAGGTCCCACCAGAGCTTGAGGCTAGAGGATGTTTGATCTTACCTTCAGCTTTCCATGGGAGTGGATCTCTAATGAGCCAAGAATCTGCAATGAGAACAGATTATGAAGATCTTGGTCAAATATTTTTATTTTGTAATTGTTTAATGATCATTACAGAATACCTCGGTAGATTGAAAAATCCAGACAAGATATGATAGATGATATTTTTTTATTCTTCATTATTATTTTCCTCTTTGCATTGTGATATATGGTATGGTCATACACTGTGTGTCTTTCCTAAAGTCTAAATGAGATGCAGATTATCTGTAATAAAATATTTATTATAGCTACTGCCGGACTGACATGTTACTACACTTGTAAAATGCAATTTTATTTCTCTGAACCATATGGAAGTGTTGATTGCACGTTGAATACTAAATGTAAAAATGGCATTTTGGAGATCCATGTTCATTATACCTCATTTACTTTCACATATGATTCCTTCAGGTCACACATGAAAATGTTCTTTCCTTTCTGCCACTGTGGAAAACAGATCATGTATTCGGAGAATTAAGAGAAAGGTCTACCTAACTTTAGCACAGCTGACATGAATTTTCAATTGCAATTTTTTTGATGTATGAAACAGTAAATGTACTATAAATCCCACTGCTATAGCTTTGCAAAGGCAACGTATTTAACAGTAATAAACATAAAACATATGGAAAAGATAATAATTTTTTAAAGAAAAACAAACATAATGGCACTTAGAATATATACAAAGAACCATTTTCAGAGAGTATTTTTCATAAGCATTGCAAGCTTACAGTGTTCTGGAGTAAACTATAAAATGATTTTTGATTTTAATAATCAGGAAGTTGGGAGTATTTCACATATAAAGACGGAGCTTTTGTAAATTAAATGAAGACATGGAATAAAGCTCTTGCTGCTAACAAAAGAATCTGAAAATCTTGTTTCAGTCTTATCTTTTTCACATTCCAATAAAGTTCACATTGTAGCATCTGCCAAAAAGGGAAGGAGAAAAGGGTACAGTATATCTTGAAATGAACAGCCACAATTTTTTGTTGCTAGAACTCCTCTTCAAACAAGAATCAAAACAGATTGCACAATTTTTCTCTGAGCCTTCAATGAAGCTGTGATTACGCAAGTGATAAGAATAAGTTATGATGATGGTTGGAATGTAAAAAAATTGCACACTTGTATTTGTGTTAGTACTTTTCCCCCATGACAAAAGTTTTCATTTCATTGTGCTGTCAGCAATTCAAAAATCTGGTATGAAGGTGTATTTCACCTATATTTTTTTATTTCCAGCATAAAAAGTCAAGTGTAAAAGTTGAGTATTTTCAGGGGTTTATTTCTGTTTAAAGGTATGAGTTTAACTGACTGACCCAGGAATTAAAAGGAGTGGTATCAATACAATCCAAATAATGGTAGTGTACTTGTTTTGTCTGGAAGCGTTTTCTGAAAAGAATTTTCTTCATAGTAGCTAACAGTGAGCCAGCTGGCAGTACACAAGGATTTGGAAGATGACAGCTGACCAAAGGGATATTCCACACCATATGAGATTGCGCTCAGCCAAAAAAGCTGGGGAAGGAGAAGGAGGAAAGGATGATCAGAGTTATGGTACTCTCTTCCCAGATAACTGTTATGCATGATGCAGCCTGGATTTCTTGCAAATGGCTAAACATCTATCTGCTGATGAGAAATAATGCATGAATCCCTTACTTGGCTTTGTTTGTGCTCAAAGTTCCTGCTTTACCTATTAAACTGTCTCTATCTCATGAGATGTCCCAATTTTAACCTTCTGATTCCACTTCCTGCCTCACCTGGGGACAGTGAGTGCCTGCATGGAACTTGGCTGCCTACCTGGGTTAATCCAGAACAAGCAGGAAAGCAATTCTAAATATTGTCTCCAAACTTCTGACAGGCAGAGATTAAGAGGATAAGCATCCTATTTTTAACTTCTGGAAAACAGGGTAAATACTACATCAGATTGTAAGACTGATTTACTGTACAGCCTTAAAAGTGGGTGGATATTGGATCTGTGCATCCAAGTTCTAGCTGAACCCTGAAAAGCTACCATTTCCTATGGTATCTGTAAATACAAAACTGGGCAATAAAAGTCAGTGAAAACTCTCCCATATGTTATTGAGGCACAATATATATCTCTCTAAGTTTAAATCCTCGACCGTAAATATATTTTTTTCAAATATATGTGCAGACATACATACAAATGAATACACAGCTTGACTGTACAGACAATATAAATGTAAAAGAAGATAAATACTAAAAATATAATTGTAGCAATGTAAGGGCAAGGTATTGAAAATCTAAAGGCTCTATACTAAAAATGCTCTAATTCATGATGAACAATTATCACATCATTGAGTCACACTATGTGAGAAACTTTGAGTTTGGTATAAACTCAACTACATAACTACAAAACTACACAACTACACAATTACAAAAAACCTTCCCAACTGAGTGTCTAAGCATGTGTCCTCAGAGTACTTGCACCATAGACCTTAACAAAGCCTGCACTTGAACCCCAGACAAAAAAAGAGCCTGGAGGCAAACCTGAAATACTCATCCTTGTGTTTTCTATTTATGTTATCACTTGCAGGAAGAAGTTCTAAGCTATGGTTTTACAACTGTCAATAAAAGTATTTTAATTTAAGAAAATGCAGAAAAATTTCTCTGCTCTCTTGAATATTTCCTTTTTCTAGATTTAGATGATCTTGTGTTCAAAGTTCTTCCCTTCATGATTCCATTTCTTAGGTGCTTAACTGTCCTGATTCACTTAATGAGCATTTCTGAATATATTCTCAGCATTGCACACTTGAAAGTCAAGCTTGGTGACACTCACTGCCAACATATTTAACTCCCTTTGATGCTCTGATCTTCATTTACTGGAGCGTGATCAAAGAGTGCTGCCCTCAGAAACACGGGAAGGAAAACTGAAAATAGCAGCCAAAATGCAACAAATAGCAACACAGGCTCATCCCTAATCAGCTCTAAGGTGCTCAGATGTGGAATTCATCAGTTGCACCTGATTCAGTCCAAATAAGCAGTGTGGTGGTTTTAAAAGGAAATGCACTCTTTGGCAGTTAATCCATAGTAGCTCATGCAATCTGAGCTCTCACAACACACCTGGGAAAAGTCTCCCAGCACTGTGCAAGGTACTGGTGTGTAAGAAAACGAAGTTGTTTCTATCAAAATCTGTAAAAGGCCAATCTTCAACAAGAAAATTTAAATTGCATCCAATTGTTCCTAACTGGGTTCTGGAAGAAGACAACAGAAAATAATGTACAATGACTCTGGTTCAGGCAACAGGGCAGCAATACAGCTGCCTCCCTTCAGAAGCCTTTCCAGAAGGCAGCAGGTCTTACTACATATAGAACACATGGAGTTAGGCAATGGCACTTGGCTTCCAGCACACAACCAGACAGTGATTCTTGCTTACCACTCATCAGTGGAATATTTACTACACATTCTCAGATGGAACCTTTCATCCCAGGGAAAAAATGGAAAATAGAAGGGATGGAAAACATCAATTCTATTTCACGTAAAAAAAATGACTCAAAAAAAGCTTATAAAACTTTACTGCTGCCTGTCAGATAAAACACTGAAATGATCCAGCACATCCTATCTGTTTGACTATCAACTTTAAAGATCTACCAGCTTGGAACTTAAGTGATTATATTGCTATGCTAACATTTAAGAGAAAAATATATTGTTTTGAACTGGGGAAGAATACCTAGCACATAAGAAAAATAGTTTCTAGTTTCAGGACACTGAACTGCAACTTCATTCTGTTTTGCTCTGTTACATGATGAGATGGTAAAAACAGGTAGTGAGTTTTCCCATATAAATAATCTTTCTCTGCTTTTGTTGATAAAACTTAAAAACTCAAAGCAATAATGACTCAAGTTTTTGTAAATTGAGGAGTTAGATTAATTAGATAACAACATCAACTCTACATAATGCTATCTCACTTACCTATGGCACAGAAACTAAGCAGGTAAGAACCTTCTCACAAAATGGGGTCCTCCACACAGAACAAGTTATACAGATAGATAGGGCTAGACACTAAGCACCAAACTAAAGAAGCACCCTGACTACTTCTGTGACTAGTCTTCTTTTCTAAGTTGTATTTAAGCCATGTTCCTAGATGCACCTGGGAAAAGTCCTGAGCCAAAGATAATGTAGAGCATTTTTATTTCCTAATTTATTGAGTTGAATCACTGGCAAATTGATTCAAAGTTCTTAGTAACAAACTAATATGAACAGCCAAAAATTGCAGTTCTCTGGAGAATAAATAATACCAGGTTCTCAGAACCAGCCTCATGCAGTAAGAATGGATGGCCCTTTACAGCCCGTTGTGGTAAGCAATAATCTGTTGCCATAATCTCAGCAGTGCCACAGTGGTAAGAGAAGCTTTGATGTAAAGGACTAGCTCTGATGTAGAGGACTGTCAAAAACTGAAAGGCTGAGTGATAACCTGAGATCTAGGAAAATCCACCCAGGTAAAATTTATGTAGAAATTACAAAAAAATACACCCAAAATTAAAAATTATAGTTATAGTTCTGTGCAAGGTGCTCCAAGATGACCCTGCTTAAACAGGGACCAGATGGCTCACTGCAGCTTCTTCCAACCTTACCTAGTCTTGGATGGACTCTGTGACATCCATCCATCCATCTATCCATTGATACATATGACTTTAATCACACATATAGTTTATACAACAAACATAAATGGAAAAATATGCATAAAATACTTCAGTTATGTATAACTAGATATATATGTCTATATTTGTATAAATCTAGTTCTATATGTCTTCAATTATATATAACAACAACAGGATTATTCTGCACAAAATTCTTACATTGATGTTTGTGTGAAAAAAACCAAACACTCTGCAGCCACATATTTTTTTATAACCTTGTCACAGTAAAACCCAATAACAGAACAGTATATTAGTAACTATGATTTACCACTCTCTACACAAAACCACATTTTTTATTTAATTGCAACAGAAGTATATCTATATGATCTCTATGGAACTTCAACATGCTTTTAATTAATT